TATTTATATAGAAAGTAACTAAATGGTTGTTATTTTAGTTTTTGCTGATTCAGTTATAACATGCACTCAGTAAATGAGAATGTGTAACCTAAAATTAAATTTATAGGCAAATTAATTAAATTCATATCTGAGGCTACAAGCAATCGATTTGGTTCACTTTCTTAAATATAAACAATAGAGTTAGATGTCAACAGTAAAAGAGAAAATAATGAAATTAGATGCAGAGAAAGCAAAGAGAAATTCTTATTAAGGTTGTTTCTTTCTGGAGATCTTCTCTTGCTTAGTAATAATTTAGTATTTAATTAAAAAGTATTGTAGAGTTTTTTCCAGAGAAGATATAAAGTGGGGAAAATAGAGTTTAATTAGTAAGATCTCTTGTAACCGTCACCTAATATCTTACTTATCTGATGTCTCCGTTACTCATTTTTTTCTAACGTTACATCTGGGAAATTTATAATCGCTTTGCAAGTAATACCAAACTCGTCTTATCTGGAATTGACTGAACCGTCTTCTTTATCCAAACATGTGAGACTTTATAGAAAATCTTCTAGTGTTAAGTTCTTAGTGAACCTTATAAGAACAATCCCGATATCAATGATCTCGATTCATCGATTGTTTCCTAAATGTAGCTAGGCATCGTCCGCATGTGTTATCATTTAATTTATCCACGTGATAAGTCCATTTTTACCATTATAGAGAGATATTTTATTAACTTACAAAAATTATTGCAGTTGCATATTACACGAAAGTTTAATTTCAATTAGAAACAATAAGGCCAACAAAGAGAACCTTATCTGCTAAAAAGGCAGCGAATGCATAATATTTTTGTCAGGAATAAATGGAGAAAAAAATGTGTACCATTTACATTCGGGAATATAGTTTGTCTTCTTGGAATTTCATAATAGTCAATTAAAAGATGAAAAATTCGAACCTGATTATTTTAATCAGTTAATGGCCCATATTTTTCTTTTTGACTTTTCTTGTATAATGAGGCAAATTACACGTCCCCGCTTATTGAAAAAGGAAAAAGATGTTTGTCTTTAATAAAAAGAACGAGGGTATTTAAGTCAAAACAGGAAAAAACCAATGATTGAACAACCGAAAAACCAGCGCAAAGCGTAGTGTAGGAGAACGTGGGCAGTTCTATGTATTACGAAACACTACGAAGGCGCTGTCGCAGACGTGGCATGACATACCAACGTGTTTGGGTCCCATTTTTTTTTCTTCATTCGGCCCCACAAGTAATTAATGAAGAATTTCTTCTCTTCCCTTTCAGCATTTGGACGAGGTAAATTTGTGACACTTTTTCTCAAAGTATTGATAAGCGGATTGTATGGGTTAAAATCGGATCAAAGAAATTCGGTATGCACAAATGATTACCATGAACTATTTGCATATCAACGTGGGTAGTTTGGCCGAGATCGACTAGTGATAAATAGAAACGTCGAGGTCGAGCAGTATAAATAGGATTAACGGCTAGTTTTGTTTTGGGATTCTCAGAGAGAATATTCTCTTTGTTTGTACTTTTTAGGGTTCGTTGGGAATATTCTATATAAATAGTATGAGAAATAAGGCAAAGAGCATGTACTATCATATATGATAAGAACACTTTTGAAAAGTAAGCTCTCTAGATAAATACAAAAGAACAACTTTCTAGAGACATTCGATCTTTTTGGATTATCTATTGTCATTTCCACCAGATCCGAGAAAGTGCTCAATATTCTCTTGTATTCTTGTTACTCTTCATTGTCAGAGGGAAGAATCATTCACCTTATTCAATATTGAGTGAATTTTTCTCCTTATTTACGTTTATTGTCATTTATTGTTATTTAATACTTGATACTTTATGCACATTATTACATTTGACACATTTATTGCTTGCACATTAATTATGTTTCTTCACAGCTCACACCTTTCGTACTGTCAACCAAAGATCTGAAGTTATTAGCTTTAACTAGGATTAACTCTCCTTAATAACTGATTAATTAGTTTAACCAAAGATTATCATTTTTTTGTCAAACAATTTGGCGCCGTCTGTGGGGATTTCCTAGTCAAAGTCTTAGTTTCTTTCAAATATAAAAAAAACAACACAAAACCTTGTCTTTTCTTGCGTGCATAGTTTAACATGACCGGTAATGGAGAGGAAAGAATGAAAGCAGTAGCCGGTCTTACTACCAACCTCCTAAACACCATCAACGTACGAAGTCACTGGAACAGACACTGAGGACGTGACGCCAAACGCCTCCCCCAGACGGAGTGGTTCACCCCTCTCTCACGGCAGCATCACAACCTCACACGGTAAAAGGGCCTCTACCTCTACAACGGAAGAGGCACCTCCAACAGTGAAAAAGCTGCTCGAGGCGTGGTTGACAAACACATTGACTACCATTCTCGACAAGCCCACCCAAAGGACGAACAAAGAATATGCGAGAGTCTGCGTCGCACCAGTGACAGACGAGCAGCACGACACTCCTCTTGTGACAGGTATTACTCACAACAATAGTGATGCAGGTAACGACACCCTCACAACCATTTTGAAGAAGATGAAGGGGATAGATAACGAGAACAAAATGCTCCGTGACCAAATGAAAGAGCATCAAGAAAGGATGGACAAAATACTAGGCGCCCCAAAACTCTTACCAAAAAGGGATGTCGGGCGGTTCATACCGTACATTGAAGAAGCTGCACCACACGCCATACATAAAACCTTCAAAATGTTGTCGTACTTGAAAACATACGATGGCACGATGGACCCTGAGGATCATGTGACCCACTATGTCACTGTAGTAAAAGGCAACGACCTCGCCAAAGAATAAGTGTCTTCCATATTACTGAAGAAGTTTGGCAAAACCCTCACCGGGGGAGCACTAACTTGGTACTCATAGCTACTTGCACGCTCCATAGAGATGTTCGAGGAAATATCCAACAATTTTGTAACTGTCCATGCCGGGGATAAGAAAGCAGAGACGAGGGTGAATGACATTTTTGCCATTAAACAGTCACCCAGTGAAGGGCTAAGAGATTTCCTCGTCCGATTCAACCGTATGAGGATGACCTTACCAAACGTATCAGAGGGATTTGCAGTAGCAGCTTTCTAGAATGGGTTAAACAGGAACGGTTTGAGGGCGACCAGAAAATTGCTAAGCCGACTCATGAAATATCCTTCAACCACTTGGGACGAGATACACAACACCTACTGCGCCGAAGTATGAGCCAATGAGGACGACCTCAACAGGCCAACTCAACGGCTAACCTCAGTCCAAATGGAATCTAGGAAAAACTGAAGAGATGACAACAGAAGGGACCATGCAGGCCCGCGACCCAACCGCGAAAGACATCAAACGTATGTCAAAGACGCCATCATACCACCTCCCCATCACGGCGATGGCCCATCTAGGCTGCAAACAAGGACTCACTGAAGCGAAAGAGGTATGCCTCCACTACTATCTACTCAAAATTTCTGTGTTTCTCCTACAGAAATAGTCTACGCTCTGGAGAAGATAGGCCTAAAGGTGAAGTGGTCGCAGAAGATGAGGTCTGACCCAAACACTAGAAAGTCAAACGCCATCTGTGAATTCCATCAGAAACGGGGCCACAAAACCAAGGACTACATCGCTCTAAGGCAAGAGAAATTGACAGTGTTGTAAAAACTCTCAAACCCGCTGATAGCGGATAAAGATGGGCGGCAGCGGAATGAATACCAATGAGAACGGAAAAAGGGCCGCGGCCGCGGAGTCATGGGGATCAGACTACCCATTCTTTGATTCTAAAGACCCGCTGAGCGCGGAATATTGGGCGCGGCCACGGAAGTTGCACCGCTGTCCGTGGAAAAACAGCCACGGCCGCGAACCCATTTTTGTACTTCTCTGAACATAGGTATCGCTGACCGCGGAAAATGAAATGTGACCGCGTAAAACTTGCCGCTGTCAGTGGTATTTTCCTTCGCTGACCGCGGAATTCAAAACATTCCAAACTCAAAATTTTGCACATGAATGTTGGCCACGGAAATACATCCGCGATCGCGGAAATCAAAACTGGGCAATCCTAGGGTTTCACTTTTTTCTAGACATTAACGGGTATTATGAACATTTACTAATCTCTACTAGGCATTACTAATCACTAACCCATTAACCCTAACTAATTGTAGCATCAAATAATAACACTCATGAACCCTAGTTAAA